GCCTTCTCTTCCCCAGCTGAACCCCCCAACTCTCTCAGCCTTTCCCCCCAGCAGAGCTGCTCCAGCCCTCGGACCATTCCCGTGTCCCTCCTCCGGCCCCGCTCCAGCAGCTCCATGTCTGTCCTGTGCTGGGGACCCCAGAGCTGGCCGCAGGGCTCCGGGGGGTCTCACTGGAGTGGGGCAGAGGGGCCCGTTCCCCCCTCTCTCCCTGCAGCCCGGCTGACACTTGGCTTTCTGGGCTGCCAGCGCCCGGTGCCGACTTGCGTCCTGTTTGTCACCCCCCAGTATCCCCCAGTTCTCCATGGGGCTGCTCTCTGTCCATCCGTCTGTCCGTCTGTCCTTCTCCCAGCCCGCGCTGATCCTGGGGCTGGCCCAGACCCAGGTGCTAGACCTCGCCCTTGGCCTTGTTCACCTTCATGACCGCACCCTCAGATCCTTAAGTGCCGGGAGGGTCTCTGGAGATTTTGGGCCATTTGGAGCTGCTCAGGCTCCCTTGCTCCCGGTGATCCTCTGCCTGCTGCCAGGAGGCTTTTTGTCTCCTGCTCCAGCCTTGGCCTGGGGCTTGTGTCGCCCCACAGCTTTGGGGAGTTAAGCCAGAACCAGGAGATGACCGGGAGTTTTCCTCTGGCTTGGCTGCCTGTCCTGGCTTGCAGGGGGGTTGGATGGGCCCAGCGCCCCGCTGCGACAGCCAACTCTTTAAATTAACGTGGCTGAATCACGAAATGTTCCGTCTTCTGCAGCGTTAACTCCTGTCTCCACTCTGAGCTCTTGCCCCCTCGGACCCTCCCGCGTTGCCCCGTCCCTGCAGCAGGGAGGGGACCTAACTCCCCGCTCCTTGGGGCTGGTGTCACCCCGGGGGCTGCAGTGGGGTCTCCCACTGTTGGGACGTTCCTCTGGGCTCCTCTTGGCTGGTGACACCACCGAGCCCCGCACCCTCTGTGACACCCCGGACCTGCTGCTGCTGCTTCACCCTTCCTGGGCAACCTCCAGCTCGTGGGCTCAAGTCATCATCGCCTCAGCGAAGGGGTTGGGGTGGGAGGAACCCTTCAAGGTCATCCAGTCCCACCCCCCTCAGGTCTGAGCTCGGGTCTCTCAGAGCCTCGCTCAACCTGACCTGGAACGTTCCCAGGGATGGGGCATTGACCCCCTCACTGGGCAACCTGGTCCAGTGCCTCACCACCCTCCAAGTATAACACTTATTCTTTAGATCTAGTCTGAATCTTTAGTTTAAAACCATTACGTCTTGTCCTGTTGCTACAGGTCCCGACGAAGTAATCTGCTTGTGGGTGCTTTGCAGCATTTTCTTCCCAGCCAGCTCAGACCCTCCTGGGCTACCCTGGAGCTGAGCCCAGGCTTGAGCTCTTCCTGCCCGTCCTGGCCAGGCTCATGCCCCGGCTTTGCATGCTCCCCACCTTCCCCTTAAACTCGGCCCAGCTGCTTGGGCTCACTCACTCCCCTCGCCTGCAGCTGCCCTTGAGCGCGGCGCAAACACGAGCGAGCGGCGCCTGGCTTGGCTCCAGCTCATGCAGCTCCGTCAAGGGCAGCTCTTGAATAAACTGTTTATGGAGTCTCAGCCCGGCTCGTGAGACCTCCTGGAGGTAGAGCAGGAAGAGCAGGACCTGCTAAACCCGCTTCCAGCCGGAGTGAGCGCGGAGCAGCTGACATCTGCCTGATGCAGAGCGTGTCATGTCAGGCCTGTCCCTGGGGCTCTTCTCGGGCTGTCACCCTGACAGGGACAGCGTGATTGTACCCTGAGTCCCCCAGCAGCAGGTCCCTGTCCTGGGAGAGGGGAGCGCTGGCAGGGCTGGGCCCAGCTGGGCTCAGCTCAGGTGCTAGGAATTAAACCACTAAACAAGGCTCGCTTGAAGCATCAGCTGGGGCTGGTGAATTAACGGCCTTCTGCTAATGTGGTTTCTCTGCTTCCTCCAGGGACTGGCTTCCTGCTTTGGGATATGTGCAATAAATCACCTAGAGGAAACCCTGGCCAAGCTGGAAGATTTTGTTAGGTCTGATGTCTTCAAGAAATCCGTGGGACTGTTCAGTATCTTCAAGGTAAGAGCCAAGGGGCCCCCGCGGCGCCGCAGCGAAAGGCTCCCGCGGGCTGCTGCAGGTACGGCCGGTGCTGGAGCCCGGGAGAGCAGGAAAGCAGCTTGTCTCCTGTCTCGGTGAGGCCGCTGCTTGCTGGGCGGGCTCAAGCAAGCTGGAACGTGGCCCCCGTGTCCATCAGGGGACCCTGGCCCCGTGGTTTGGCCATTGACCACATCGGTGCTTGACGGTGACCCCCGTGCATGTGCCCCTTTGTGCCCCAAGCGCCAGCAGCGAAAACATTTCCTCAGATGTTTGAGGGACAGGATTGGCGCTGCCTGGGCACGAACAAGACCCTGGCCCACGACTGGAAGGTGCCCAGAGCCTGGGAGCTGGGTGAGGAGCCCCCACACAGCTGGGGAGCCTTCATCCCTGCTGCGGCACGAGGGCCGTGAACTGGGATGGTGCTGGTGAAGCCCTTCAGCAGCGCTGGTTAATGGGCTGATTTCTAGCAAGGAGCTAACCAGCAGTTAACTCAGCCAGGAGGGGGCTCACGTGCTTCCCCGCAGGGTTCTGGCCAGTAACGCTCGATGGCAAACGGGGGCTTTTGCCTGGGAGACGGGGTGTGCTGGGAGCGCAGCTCTGGAGGCCACTGCCACCACCAAAGGGAGGGAAACAAAGGGACAAAATGCTCGGGGGGAGGGGGGGCTGTCTTTTTCAGGGGACTTCTAGGGGTTGGTCTGCTCGAGGGCGGGGAGGCTGCAGAGAGCCCTGGGCAGGCTGGAGCCATGGGCTGAGCCCGACTGGGGGAGTTTCACTGAGGGCAAATGCCGGGGGCTGCCCTTGGGCCACAACAACCCCCAGCAG